CAGGAATTTAAACTTAGGAATAGGACTCCTATTACAGATATAGATAAGACTTCTCTCAATGTGAAGTGAATATTGATGAAATGCTCTGCACTGTGGAAAACTACTTCATCAAACTGAATGCCAAATCACAGTTGGTAAACTGTAACTGATGATTGTTTACCCTTGTCTTTCCACTTTGAATACTTCTGATAAGTTTTGAAGAATCTGTTACATAATGCAAATACTGAAATACGTTATCTTTTCTTATTAAAAATGAAACAACAAAAAACCCAAACACCTTTCCCTCTCTGAGACTTTGTGATGAAGTTTAATGACTAGATATTAATTTAAAATTCCCGAGGTGACCTGCTAGAAAGGTAGAAGCTGACTACTATCTCTCTGCAAAATAATAAATGAACCTTTTCCAAGGAATAAAAAAGATTAGATAAAGGCACATAAAAACGTAAAATAATAGCCATTGCTACATGAATTCAGAGCATGCTTAAAATTAGGCCTCTAATAACCATGGTTCTTATTCTAAGTAATTTCTAGTAATGCTATGCTTCATAAAACTTCACACATACATGCATATATATGTTTACGCAAAGCTATGTACATAGCTCCACGTAAAATAAGGAATTTCATACTAGCAATCTGCTCTTCTTTCCAATGGCACAGTTATAAAGAAGGCAAAAGTACCTCTTCAAGTATTTATGTCTCCTATTTTTCACTTGCAGCTCTGTAAAGAGTAGGTGCTTATGACCGTTAATTTATCTTTGCAAAATGTTCAGAGTGTTTATTGTAATATTACTTGCAAAGAATAACTGGCATCCATTTTGGAGGTAGAGTTGCTAAATGAATTTGTTCTGAGAAACTGGTTTGGGCACACTATTACTAATTTCTCTCAAACTTACCTTTTAGGAACTTAGAAGTAAAACTGAAAATTTATAATTCAAATATTTGCAGTATGATGCAGAAAGAAGACTTACTTCTCCATGTTAAACCTTTTCTTTTTTACTGGGGCCTGAAAGTCTTTTTTTGTCATAAAAAAAAAACAACTCTGTTTTCCTTAGATGAAGGTATTCAGAATCCATGGAATTTTGAATTAGTAAGGACTATAAATTCAAACTGTGACTGAGAGAAATAAGAGTGGAATAAGTAATGAAATATTATTTTAAAATGCCACCATGACTAATTTTCCACAATACTGAGAAAGGTGTCTATTTTACTGTTTTCGTTAAATATTTTCTGTTTCTAATCCTATATTTACTCTTCAGTACGACATCTAAGAGTTGTTATTCCAGAGTTCGGGGTCTATATGTGATTATTACTGAGTCAGCTACAGACCCATTTGCACATTACTCCAAGCACATGAAATTGACTGCCCACTAGGTAGCAAATATGTTTTACTCAAAATGTAGAGGATGTAACTGTATAGTACAGAGATGCGACATAAAGCCAAACCAGGTTGCATCATATTTGGTGTACAAACTTCCTGTCTGTATTTATGCTTCACTTGTAATAAACATCCTTGAAAATCTATTGCCTGGTATTTTAATGTTTTTAAGACTTAAAGAAATCCCAGTTGCCAGAAAATAATACTTGTAAACACTTAATGATGTCAAACTGCTTTCAAACTCCCAATGGGGATTTCAAGAACCAAAGTGTTGATCTTCCTTCAGAGGCACCTCAGGAAGTTCTGTTCACTCAGCATTCCTAACAGTTTGCAATGCTTTTGTGAATACCATTCCATGCAGTTAAGAAATGCCAATTGATTGAAATAAAATTACACAAATTCTGTAAAATAACTATAATTACAGACTCATTTTGAATTATGAGGTTTGCATCACTTATGCTTAGGCAACATATAGCTGCCTTTTTGTCACTGAAGACAAGTCTCACAAAGGGAATATTTTTCATAGAAATGTTGGGTTAAGAGAATACAGATAGGGTTCAAAACGTGTATGTATGGGTAGTGGATTAATGAAGTTTTTGACAAGTTTTATTACTTTTGCTTAGTATTTTTATGATTGTTTTTCTAGAAACAACAATTCAGTCAGTGAAAGCTTACCCCTTAACAATGAATGCAGTTTCAGAGCCTACCAATATTGAAGTAGGGGGTGTGTGTGTCAAATTTAATAGCAGAGCACACACTAAAAATTAAGGAAACAAAACTCACAGCTTTGGGAGCACTAATTCAAACCAATTGAAAGAAAAACGGGCCCTGCTGTGCAATATGGACACACTTCTCACATTACAGCTTCAACCTGTGCTAGGGACAGGATCCATCTCATCTAATTTTATCCATCTAAAGTCCTTGCTAGTTGTTTAGATACCTTTGTAGACAAGGGGAAAGGAGCACTTCAGAATGAGTGTTAGATGAGGTACCTTAACATCAGGTGAGATTAATTCCATCCCATGTGATTATTTTTTTAAAGCTTTAACTCAGATTGGTTTCACAAGAGAATAAATCAATAAACATTTCCTCTTTAAATAATGGAGAGATTGACATTTACTCTGAAATTGTCTCTTCCTGCATATGAAAAAGTACTGGGGGGAAGAAAAACATCACAAACAAGTCTGCCTAACCAAACATTCTGGGTAAAGAATTTTGACCCTTCTGGGCAGATTGAACTATTTGGCTTAATTTTAGTATTTACTTTTGTTCACTGAAACCTACCAGCTGTCTTTTCCAATCCCCACTAGATTACGGTAGCTGTTTGATACAATGGATTCAATACAGTGAATGAAGTGAATGATAAAAGAACAAAACACAAATACCAGCCACAGTTCTCGCTGGAACAGATTCTTTGTTGATCCAAAACACAACTTGAGACAGGACTACAGTCATGATGCATGGAATGTATGTCTGAATGAGGTAGTAGCCTATTTTCCTTTGAAGATGGAAATAGAGCAGCTGAAGTGAATATTCGCCTAAAACAAACAAGCAATGAAAGGAATGAATGAATGGTATATGTGATACTGAGCTGTTCAAAGACCTTAATGCAGCATACCAAAAACTGTTCTGGCTGGAACAGACTCCTTGTTAATCCAGAAAGACACCTGAGAAAGAATGACTGTCATAATACATGGAGTATATATCTGTATCATGAAGTAGCCCATCTTCCTTTGCAAGTGGAAATAAACTGTCATGATTACATATTCACCTGTTAAGAGACAAGTATGTCAGCATCATTTTGGCAACATATGAGTACACGTTATTGGCTTAAACCCAACGTAATATGTTCTGAGGCACTTGCAGGCCTCCTAATGCATAACAAAAATAAGCTGATTAACAAAAGGTAAAGTGACCTTATGGAAACAAAGGACAATAATATTCCTTTTATGTATTGTTTTTACTGGGGTGGGGATGCAGGGGGAATTCTTAAGAATTGAATGAAAAATTGTATGTTTAAAGGGACTGTATTGAAAAGCTATCTCTTAAGAGACAATGGTTATATTCTTTCCAAGAATTTTAGTTTTTAAAACTGCAAAAGATAATTAAACTAATGATAATTAAATTAATTTGGTTCTATATGAAAAAAAAAAGTAATTTATTTTCAAGATGTGTTTGACAATTTCAGTAGTTCCCACATAGCTACATCTTACCTGTGTTAGATTTAATTGTTTCACTAGATACAGTTTGTCCTATGAGGTCATACTGGAGGAGACTAGAAGACTCCTGTGGTACTTCTACTGAATGCAGGGGTCCTTTTTTCCATGTATAAATTATTTCACTTTTTGGATAAGCATCTGAGTATAGAGGGAAAAATTACTATTATTAATTATGTAATTTATAAGCAATTTAAAAAAAAGAAGTAGCATGATCCCTTTTCTGGATCACATACCCATAGAAACATGCATCCTGCTCCAGCAAGTTCCTAACCTCATTAATGACAAAATGCAAAAAAATCAACACTAAGAGAATAGTTGAGGAGGAACTTATAGGCACTAGCTTTTGCTTCTTAATTTGCTGGAAATCACATACATTGCTTACCACAGATCAACTAAATATTTGCAAAACTAGAAGTAATATATTAAGTGTACCACAGCTTTTATGACTTGTTGAAGGACCCACTTTGACTACTAGATGTGTAAGAATAATAAACAATAAAATTTGCCTCAACAACCACCCTTCAGTGAATAACCCATGCCTTTATGAATGGTTAGTCTCAGAGAAGAAAGTAAGATTCTAGTATAAAAAATACAATAAAAAATTTCAGCTATGTCATTAAGTAGTGTCCTAGGACCTCCCTTCTGATCTCACATATATATAGACCAAATGTATTACCATAAAAAATTGAAAGATACAGAAAAACTTACAGCTTCCAAACTTCAAAGGACAAGCATGTCCATCCATAGGGAAGTTCACCAACCGCATAGGACAATCAGCATTAATGGTTAGTCTAGAATACATTATAGTAGATGACAATGAAAAAAAAATGGTATGCAGGAACACTGCTGAAAGAATCAAAAATAAAAGTCAACCAAAAGCAGAAAAATAGGCTCTCACCTCATCGTGTAAAGAATAGTTCCATTCTGCATAATTCTGAAAAGTTTGTTAGGAGTGGTCATATTATGAGCAATTGATTTTTTCCCATTTCTAAAAAATGTGTCTGGTGTCCAAATTTTACTGACCATTAAATTGTTCAATCTCAAAATTTCAGTTGGCCCACTAAACTTCAACCTCTCATCAGTCCATGTCTGCCGAAAGAAGACATCCATTGTGTATTCCTATGGAAAATAAATAGGTGGTTGACTTATGTGTGGGGACCAGCAGTCCCAAGTTACTGTACACACAGTAACTCCGTGAAAGAAGCTAACAGACATGTCAATGGCATTTCATTTACTGCTTAAACACTTAATCCTATTACCATTAAGTAGCTACTAATAAAAAAGGTCTATGAAAACGTATCTTATTTTGTTATTATTTAAAGAATAGTTACAAATTTATCAGTGAACAGATAATGAGATATGATTAAGGAAAAAAACCTCATTGTCCTCTGAGATAACAATTTAACCCAAAGTGACCAAGGTCTAACAAAATCAAATGTCTAACTTAGTATTCTTTCAAAGTGTAAAACCAAACTATAGAAGTTTAATTGGCAGGAACAAAAAGACATGCCTAGTGCCTCTTCTGCAGCTTACTTTGGATATTCACAAAGAAAGGACTGATGTGAGTAAGTCACATCACAGTAGGACTATGTTGTCAAGTTAACATTACTCTAAGTTTCTTTTTCAAGGATTCTTAATAATATTCTCACAAGGCTTCAACTTGGAGCTAAACCTTGGCCAGAGGTAAATTTTGTAAGAAGGCAAGATTATCCCTTCTCTTAGATTGACTGATGACGAGAGGTGGAAAAACTTTTGGTTACATCTTGGGGCTCAGAGTTCTTTGCCTGCAAACTGGACTGCAGGCTCAGGTGAGCAGGTATTGGAGGAAGTATACAAGGGCAAAACCAGCAATCAAAGTCAATTTCCAGAATGAGAACAGCAATGCTGTCCTCACTGCGATGGCTTAACATTTTTGTGGGGCTGCCGCTGTAATTGACAGGGTTCACCCAAGTCTGCAGCTACCTGAATTTGCACACAGCATGGTAAGGGGCAGCTGTCTCAGAAATGGCACCATTCCCCTGCAGCTATTCATTAGGTGTCTCCTACCACGCAGCCTTCCTGCAACCTATGTGTTGGGCCACAAATGCTTACAATCTTCTTAACAAGGTTAAAGAGGCATCTTTAACCTCCCATCCCTGCCCTCACCCAAGGTTAGCTTTGCTCTTTGCGCCCAGGCTCGGGCCTCGGCCGCGGGCTGCCCTGGCTGACTCTGCTGGGGAAATAGCTATATGCAGCTACAGCCCAACTGCTCTGCTGGGCCCTAGAGATTGTCAAGAAGATTAAGCCTCGTAATCTGCTTTAATGACGGTCAACTCGGATGGCACCGTAATGAATCCCGGGAAAGGAGAGCAGGGGCGGCAAGCGGGGCCCTTACCATCTCCACGTCGGACACCGGCCCGAAGCTGGTCACGTAGATGTCCGTTTTGACTTCTGTCACGGCGCCTGCGGGACACGGAAAGGGGCTGGGAGCGGAGCGGGGTCAGGGCTGGCGGGGCGCGGCTCCCCGCGGCGGGCGCCCTCGGGGCCGCGGT